GTCCATCCCGAAGTTCAAAATGTTGTTTGGTGAGCAGAGCCGATGTAAATCATGTCTCACCCAAGAACGAAATCCGCATCACTCATCGTGATGCGTGTTAGTGAAAGTCCAGCTTGAGCATCAATCTGAGCTCGAGCTCTTTTGCACTCTTTGGATTTGACATCATTGCTCTTCATATGTGAGGGATGAACTAGCTCACGATGAATGAGCATCTATACGGCATAATCTAAGTTCGAGGAGTTTAGGCAAGCCTGCTACTGAACAACTTTGCCGAAAACAGCAACTTCCTAGATGGGAAGGATTTCAAGACATGACATAATTAAGGAAATCACTAATACATGCACACTAGCACCACGTTGTGAGAAAATTTCAAAATTCTGTCCTCCAACCATTAGGTCTTGATCTACTGAAGCAAAGTTGCCCAAAACAGTAACCTTCTAATGTCCAGGGTCGCGAGATATTCCATGTTGGTCCCTATTAGGTCAAATCCCAAATGCTACGTGTACTCCATTTACGCGATTCTCTCGCGTAAATGGATCATTCCACGTAAATGGAATTCGTGTAGACCGAGTTCGCGTTCTTCCGAGCAAGAGTGTATTTGCTTTTGTGCGGAGCTTCCACTCCCCCCAGAGAATGATGCTGGAGGAATATCATCAGCAATTCAATCGTGTTAGCATAACGGAGCCGATAGTTCATTGTTCTTTGTTTGTAACAAAATTCACTTAATTCTATGTCTAGTAGGAGTTGGGCCGAATACTCGTGGCTTACCCGATGTTAGAGGGGTACATTGTCGAGTGATAGGATCAGGGGAGGAGCTTGGGGGTGAGGTTTCGTTGTCTCATCAGAGCGTTGTCGCCAATATGAACGTTAGTGCGGTTTTAGTTTCATCTGGAGTTCGACCGGCTATGGTGACCAGTGGGCGACGATGAGACTCATCGAGACGGGGGAACAAGACAAACAAAAACTAATAAAAAGAGACAAAAGACAAAGGAATTAAATTCTTCTACATTTTCAGAAACACTGCATATAGCATATATCGCGAGTTCCCAACATGTCTCTGATAGGGATATAGGGTTGTCTTCCTTGGGCCTCGAAGGTATTCAAAAGTCGCCCTAGAAAATTACAACAATCCACATAACACATTTTGTCTACGGATCCGTATTTCCGCAAAAATAGAGCATTTCCGTTGAATTACGGAAGATTCAGTAGATCTGGCATCGCTGTTGGCAGTACTTTCTGATGGTTGCTAATAAGAAAAGTTGCATACGATTGCAATCCTCACTTAGCCTGCTTCGGCAGCGCATCAGTAGTGGAGTGGGAAGACGGATGTCTTTTTCGCGCGTTGATTCCCGCAACGTTCCATTTCCCACGTCCGTCAGTTCCGCGCGTTAGTGGGTACGTGATAAGATAAACGGAAGGAAACGGGATGCAATTAATATCTTCAACTTCCAACTCTTTAATTTAGCACGAAAGTGTGGATGTTGCCATCCGTACCGCACTGCTTCCAGCGATGACCTTCCAAGCGGATATCTTCTACAACTTTCAAGCTTAGCAACCGGACGAAGTCCTAAGGAAATTACATAAGAAAAGTTTCGCTTGAGACGATTATTGAAATGTTTGCAAAATCTTTTAATTCTTTCCGCATTTTACATCTGAATCGGAGTAGCTGTGCATTTTGAACGAATGATAAATGAATCACAGAATAGTCCAGTAAGTATAATCAACATATTATTATGTTGATCAATGGTACGCACATACACGTACTCTCATTGCTAACCAATTGGAAACATTGTATTAATTACCATCATCAGCGATGTGATTGTGTCCATACTGGGCACGGAATAATTAATTTTTCGTTCAATTTTGCGGCTCATTGTTTGCGTCCGGTCAGTTTTTGCCGTTCTAGTTCTCCAAATTACACCAAACACTCGGATATTGAGTCAAAATTATGTAAATATTTAATTTGTTATCAAACCAGTCGTCCAGCAAGGTTCACTCGCCTAAACACATCAAAAGCCCACCTAATTAGCCTACATGCGCCCAAACATACTGGATATTTTGATGATCACCTTTAGTGCCATCCCGCAAGCCCCAACCTGGTCTGTGGCGGTCATTTTCCAATCATTTATTCAAAATTACTCCCATACGGCCTAATCAATACCATCAATACCAACAATTAGTGCGCGGTATCATTTTGCCACCCACTCGTTTTGACGCGACGACCCTCCTTTGCTAATTTCGAATAACCATCAGAGCTCATTCGGCAATTTCTAATAAAACAATAATCGTAAAATTGAGGCTGAGGGAAGAACAGTTCCCGTTCCCATCTCCCGCAGCAATCTAATAGCGTTCCGAAGGGGTTGCTCGTGAGCAAGCATACCAGGAACCGGAGCCGCAAAGTTTTCCAATATAATCCCTCCCCGGTTCCGGATGGTGGTGTTCCTTAAGTGCGACGCATTTTGCTATTGTTACTGCTGTTCTGTTCTGTATCTATGGTTGCTGGTATTGCTACTGATTTTAGATGTTCTTTCCGGCACGCGAGAGCGCACTGGAATGGGGTTTCACGTTGATGGGGATGCTCACACTTAACGAGGAAATGGAAAAGTCGTTTGCAGTTTTGTCTGTAATAATTTTCTGTACAGCGATAGGAAAAATTCTTCGTCAAACCCGAGTGTGGTGCGGATTCGAGGCGAACACCATTTTGGCGGAATTCTTGTCCGACATTTTTAGAACGTATTTCGCCAATTGTACCCTTCTCGCTTTAGCGACACACCATCCTTAGATGAACCTAAGGATGTCAGTGGAATACGCGACTGGCAGTGACCCCATTTATCACCTAAAATGTTACCAGTTGCCATCAACTTCTCGGCACGATCAGCCAAGGTTGTGGCTCATCACTTAACAACCCTGTTCGCGACAACTCTAAGGCTCTAACATTGCAGGATATGGAAGCAACTAATCGAATCAAGAAATCCAACAAGGGTTCAAGGATTGATTGCATATTAGCAGTGATCCAATGGCTGAAAATGTTGCATCAGCTCATTGCTGACCCAATACTTTTCGCTTAAATGTTGCATTCAGCCTACTTAATGTGTATATACACGGCCAATGAGAGTAACTCAAAATTGAGTCGAATTTGACTCAAAATTACCAAAAGTAAGGTTACTCAAATAATGAGTCAAATTTAACTCCATTTGCCAGGTAAAAATTCCAGAATACAAGGAACATCGAGAGATATTCCAATCAGTCTATTAGTATACCGTAATCCGGAGAAAAAACTGATCTCCGGGCTGTATTTGATCTGGGAGGGGCCTACCTTAGCTCAGTCAGTAAAGGCGAAGCTATACCTATAGCAAGAGGAGGAAGGGTTGGAACATTTCTGAACTATCCTGGACAAAGAGTATGATTGAACTTGCCACACAGTATGCAAAAACGGTAAAGACTTTGAAAGCTTTCAATTAACAACTGTGGAAGAACTCAAAGAACACTAAGTTAAGAGTCAGCGTAAAGTACCAATAGGGTCGTAATAAAGCCAAACAAGCTAAATGGGTTGCGTTTTTAGTAATAAAGTAGAAAATTATCGGTGATAGATATCAATCAATCTTGATAGCATTTCATCATTAACTTAAATGATTGCTTTGACAAGATTTTCATAATAAAAAATGTATATTTTACTGCATTGAACTGACGTTCAATTTACTTATTTAACTGACGTTCAATATCATCATTCATACAAACGGGCATTCATAGGGATTCAGGAAACCCAAATTTAATGAGATTAGTTACTTGCAAGTCATTTGAGAAGTTGATCATGTTCACCCCAAATCACTATTTTTGAATTTGAGATTTCATGAATTTCCTAAATATAAACAAAACACTCAATATGATAAGTAATCGTGCAGAACGATAGAAATCTCATAGCTACTGATTTAATACCATAAGTTTAACAGTATCGTTTGATGTGGATTTTTATTTTTATCATTAAATTATTATATGATCTTGCCCTCGGATTACGCTACTCCTAGACTGTGTAAAATGTTGGCCAATTTTCCGCAGATTCAAGCAGTTTTTTTTTAAAGTGTGGAAAATTTTACTCACTATCTGAGTAAACCCACTTGTGGAATTTTGTATATTCAAATTCCATGGCTCTTTTTGGAGTTTTTAAGTTAGTTACAATTTCAAAAATTGGGTCGCAAACGAAAAAAGATTGAAAACCGCTGCGTTAGGTTAAGTTACGAAAAAAAAAAATAAAATCCCGATGAAGAGATCTTCTGACCAAGTACTTACCCTGTACTACCAACAGTTAACCACATATCAAAACCATAAATAAATAATATTTAACTACTACGGTGGGCTGACTATTTAGTTGAGTTGATCTATCCAGGCCTCTCTTGAAAAAATCGTGGAGGTGCCGGGCAAAGGTGTTATATCCTAGACAAATGGTAAGTTACAAATTCGCTGTTGTCGTCGTCGTAGGCGCCGTCATAGTCGCGGTATATAAAATTTAAAATTAACCACCAGCCGCTGAAATTATATGAATTATCGCGTATCTCTTTGTTGGTTTTGCTTAATGAGCAGAATATCATGGGTGTTGAGACTAAGGGTTATAACACTCACTGGAGTTTCAAAAATTTTATTCTGCGACCCTTCGCGGTGGAAGAATTGGCAAAGACTGACAATGATAACTTAATGTATAAACCTCTGCGGCAGCAGACACGAGAAGAATCTTCACAAAGAAAATTAAGTGTGTGTTGGTGTCTCGCATTAAGAGGATTCGGCAGCACTGGTCGAAGGCGAAGTTACACCACATCGCAAAGAATAACGTTAACTACAACATCGCCACCACCTTGAAAACATGATTTTCAAAATTCAAATGCAAAAGGCAAATTAACAAACTAATTAAAATTACAATTCAATTTTCCTCTTGGAGTACTTCAGGTTGATTCTCATCCGATGGCAGTTGACTGTACTCCGTCTACTCCATCGGTAGCATACACATTCTAGTGATTGATCACACGCTTATGGAACTGGGGATCAGCCAGGAAGAGCTTCGGTGGAAGGTTCCAATGATCTACTGGAACATTGTGGACGGGTATTTCAGGAGTGACCTTCGGAAGAATCAGGAAATCGGCATCCACGGAAAAGTTCTCCTTCCTGAACCGGATCTGAACGTGAACGTTCTGTGGTTGTGGACCAATTCCCTGGACAAGAACTTTCGTCTTGCTTCGCTTCAGCCTTAGTAATTGAGCCATCTTCTTGGTAATCAGGTTGGGTTGGGATTCAAAATCCAACAGAGCACGTGTCAAGTGCTCCTTGCCATAGCGATCAACGACCACAACGATTGCTGTTAGCATGAAAACGTTTCTCTCAATCTCTTGAGGCTGTAGACTGCAGTCGGTCTCCGTTGGTTGGGTGGATGCGGCTGCCGATAGAACGGACGATGTTGACTCGTCACTCGCTGAGGCCAGATTTACGTCGGCAGACACCTGCGTCTCATTACTTGATTCGGATGTAATTGGATTGTCTCCGAATCCAGAATGGAGTAGAGAATGATGACGCCTCTTGCAAAACCTGCACGTGTATCTCGACGGACAGTTCCTCGAGAAATGATCAGACCGGAAACAGTTCAAGCAAAGCCGATTCACGTTGACCAGGGTCAGCCGGTCAGCTGCACTCATTTTCTCGAACTTCATGCACTTCACCAACGGATGGCGCTGTTCACAAGCATAACACTTGATGGGAGGACTATCGACCGCTGCATGGGGCGAAAATTCCATGTTGGAGGTTTTTCGAGTGGAAGAAACATGAGAGGTGACGTACTGTGGCAGAGGTTGAGCGTGATTGACCGAAATGGACTCCAGTACACGGATGCGCCGATGCAGGAACTCAATGAGTGCATCGTAGGTTGGGTTCTCGGTCGTTGATGCATGATCTTCCCACGCCTTGGTTCACCGAGCTGCCGTAGAGTTTTGGTATGCCGCTCGAATTCTTCAACGATTCCGTGCAACGAAGCTGTCGTCTCCTTCTTCACCCATTGGATCTCTAACATAGCCTGCAGGTGTCGCTTCTTGAGGAGGTATTCGTTTGCATATCTGCTCACCAGTGCCTGCCAGGCCAGTGGATAGTTGGCAGCACTAATCGCGAATGACTCGACGACCTGAGCAGCTTCTTCAATTAATGATGACTTCAGGTAGTGGCATTTTTCGATATCTGGAACGTCCTGGTTCGAGTGGATCAACGCCAGAAAGATGTCATGGAAGGCCAAGCACTCGTTGTAATCCCCGTTGAATTCAGGCAGAGTAATCGTCGGAAGCTTAAGACCCTTGATACTGGAGGAAACCATAGGGGGGTAGGATTGGAATTGCCAGTAGGAATGCACGACGGCAATTTCGAAAGCAGACCAGCCTTTATTCGGAAAAATTGGCTCTCAAAGCCGGAACGTATTTGGGTGTTAAGGATTATACCTGCGTTTGACTCCTCGATGCCTTCCAGAACCGCCTGAATGTCTTCAAGGCTCTGCCGAATCGTATCCAGATTTTTGATTCGCAGTGCCACCTCTAGCCTATCCCGCTCTTCTTCGTATGCCTCCAGGAATTGTCCCGCTCGAGCCAACGATGCCAGCAGTGACGTGCGCCGAAGCACCAGCTGCCGCTTCTCCTGATGTTCCGCCATTTTGCAAGGCACTCACGTATGCCGATGGTGATGCAGTAGCTCGATGGGTGAAGCGACCGGTTTCTGGGAAAAATGAAGACCAGTAGCCCTGGGATTGGAAATATAGCCGCTTGGAGAGGTACGTACCTTTTCCAAGGCAAAAATGTGCCTTGTATTTAAAATATCAGCCAACAGGAACAGGAAGAGTCGTCCGCCACCGAAACCTCGGTCGGCCTTTGTTACCGTCGTGGCAGGAACGACTGCTTGGTACCCACCACCAGAGCAGCCAAGCACCGTGCCAGCAGTTGCCAGTGGATGAAATTTGATGGAAATAGGCCTTGGAGCGGATGGTCTTGGATGACGTCACTCAGCAGCCGTCGAACGTGCCAAAATCGTCCGAAAGTGGCAGTAGGAACCGTACACTAACCGTCGTAGACCGTTGACGGTGGGAAAAAGGGTGATCGAGTACACCGGAAGAAATGAGAAACACATTCTAGAGGGCACCAGCGGGGGGGCGAATGAATTTGAACTGCTACTAACCTGCTGCAGGCTAATTCTATGCCTTGTATTAATTATTATTCTAGCAGCTTCTGTCCTAGGAAAGATGGCAGCAGTCACCACGCGGTCCTCTTAATCGATCACAATGGCCGATGCCTCACAATTGCTCAGCCAATTGTTTCGCAGTTTAGCAATGGCGCTATGGATTAGCACCTCGGCAAAATGTTATGATGTTCGAAATCGTCGTAGTACAATATTCTGTCGGTTCGTGATCGCATGCGAATGCAATCTATCCTGGTCACGGCACCAATTGTTGAGACTAAGGGTTATAACACTCACTGGAGGTTCAAAATTTTATTCTGCGACCCGTCGCGGTGGAAGAATTGGCAAAGACTGACAATGATAACTTAATGTATAAACCTCTGCGGCAGCAGACACGAGAAGAATCTTCACAGACAAAATTAAGTGTGTGTTGGTGTCTCGCATTAAGAGGATTCGGCAGCACTGGTCGAAGGCGAAGTTACACCACATCGCAAAGAATAACGTTAACTACAACAATGGGTTTAATCCCAAGCTCTCCCACAACAGAATAAACCACCATCGTTGGGTCCCGAGAGCATAAAGCGCAGCTAATAACCAAAAGTTGAATAGTTTAAACCATGAATTTCGGAAAACGTGCATGCGTGATCCAGTTTGGAAGACATTGTTGGCTGCTTTCAGAGACGTCACTTCATTTGAAAAACTTTTTGTTGAGTCGGTCGTAGATTGTGGTTATAGAGCAACTGTTTTTGCTTAATGAGTAAAAGATCATGGGTTAAAACCCAAGCCTCATTGCATTACTAAGTTAATATATCCAGGCCTCTATTGTAGAAAATCGTTAATAACAGAAATTGGAGGAACGATTCAGAAAGTACATTTAGACAAATGTGACGTACGCCTGAATCGGTTCGGAAGACATTGTTAACTACTTTGGATGATTTAATTTTATTGTAATAGCTTCTTGTAACCGATAATGAACGATCGTCGGTCGTAGATTGTTGTGATGTAAGGGTGGCCTAGAGCGACCGTTTTTACTTACTGAGCAGAAGATTGTGGGTTAAAACGCAAGCCTCTTTACATTACTGAGTTGATAGGGTCGCGTCACTTGTTTAACACCTTTTAAAAGATCGCATCACTTTTCAATGTGAATCCAGATCTAATTTACCCTTCCCACTAACAAAAACGTCCTTCCTATGATAACCGTGGAGATGCAGAGGTATACTCGGTCTCTAGTAGCAACGGTTGTTGAAATAACAATCCTTTCCCTCCCCGATGACCGGTAGGACGCGGCCGGCGCCGTTATTGACCTCAAAAATATGGATTCTCCGGATTTTGTACACAGAGAATGGATTGCTAGTCCCAAGCCCCATTTATATGGTTCTTTGTACATATTTCGCTAAATCTGGTCAGTCACGGAGTAGCAACTACTGAAATGAATGGTCGTCAATGCTCAAGCTCATGCTCATGCTCACTACGGTGGGCTGACTATTTAGCACAGATGTTGAAAGAGTGACCAGTGTAATTAATATTTTGCAGATAACCTGGACATGATCGTTGACTTCAGGGAAGACTTCGTGTTTGTAGTTTTTTTTTCGTCAAGAGGACGTTAGGTTGCGTAACGCCCACGGCAAGTAAGTATAGTAAATTAATATTATACATTATCAAACATCAAAATATACAACTGTGGTAAGATTATCAAAAATCAAACCATTCAAGTTTCCGCGTTCTCCTATAGAATGTAATCATAAGAATCTCAGACTGTGATCTATTGAGCACCCCTATCCCCAGCGCAGGAATGGACATCTTCCAAAAGTACATCCAGCACTAATGCATTCATCGTTCTCCGGTTTCTCGCTCTCCGGAGGGTGACAAAGGAATCTATTAAAAGCTATATTGTCTCCTTCCTCTGGAGTCATCTATTCCCGCTTCCAAAACATAAAATCCGAAAAGAAAAGAACAACTCCCTTACCCTCAATTTCGAACGCGTTAGCAATAAGTAGTGCCGGTGACCCTTTAAGATGATTCTAAAATTTCATTGCTTTTCGGGGAACGCTCTCGCTCACTGTACCAACATTCAACTGTAGGACCTATATATTCGTTTATAGCTTCGCAAAGTTGTAGAACCTACTGATAGGATTGGTTGGTGCTGAACTGGGTGGAGGAAATAGCGAAGCAAGCTCGTGTAGCCTAGAGCAAACACGACCCGCCCACGATTGACAACGGCAGGACAATGCAAGGACAACATTGTTATTGTTGTAGTGATTCTTCGTTTTTGTTTGTGTTCTGAAAAAAGAGAAACTGAATAAAACAGTCAACTTTGCGATGGAGTTTTCACGTCGCGGAAGTTACGGAACGTAGCACAATTCATGATCATTGCAATTGTGACCAGGACAAAAAATACCTACATAGCAAATTGGTGTTTTGGTTCATTTCACACTTTTGTTTGAACATTAAAGTTGATGGATGTTTTTACTTCATTTTGGATTTTTTATGTCCAGGCTAGTGTTGATGGTTTTTTTTATATTGATTTACTCGAATTTATTACATGGCACGAAATTAAAGGCTGATCATTTGGTTTAGATTTTTTTTCTCAGCTCACAAATTCAGATGGATTCCAAGTGAAACGAGCTGCAAAGTTTGATAATAATTAATTAAAACTTTTGCTGATTAAGAATTTCCTACTCGTATCAATTAGCAATATGAAACAAATTTGCCAGAAAATTAAAGCCCGTTTTTGCCTCTATAGAAACCAAGTTCAAAATAGCTCCCTTCGTCGAATTCACACAGAGTGCGGTTGTTAAACTTCCAAGATTCAATTTTACTAATTAACATCACCCCGCGCCTTTCTGTCCGGACCCATACCGGAGGCGTCACAACCAAAAATATACAGTTCTCCCAATAAAACCAAACGATCGCACCAAGCTCGGGCGTGTTTGTGTGTTTGTGGAAGATAGGAGAAGCTCCAAACCATCGACCATTATCCCCACGTTGTTACCTACTGCTAGTGATGGAAGTTGCACCAACCGAAACCCACAGAGTGCTAAACCATTTTCCGATTTGCATCCCCAGAATGAACCCCAAAACGCTCTGTTTGGAAAACTCACCTCATTTTATAGATTTCAAATGCATGGCGGTGACGGGTCTGCACTCCACTGACTGGATTCTGTAAGATAGTGTTCGGTCGGAGAATTGGATGGTAGGTGTTGATTTGAGTGAAAAGGAAACAACATCAAACCGTTACCGCGCGTTGTTTTATGGTTACCGTTTTCATCGGTGCTTTCAATGGGATTAATTCTGTATTCTGATGTAGTTTGTAACCAACTTAGAACTGTGACGAAGGAAATGGTTGCTATGGGTTTGGTTGTTACATGGCTTGTCGAGCTACTCATCAATGAAATATTTGAAGTGTTCCATAAGTGATTGGCAAATAAACAAATATGCTTAGGACTTTCTTTCTTAGAATTTAGGAAGTTTATTGGCATCAGTTTCTGTTTTTACCCTTCTTACAAAGAAGGATATGCTCACCGCTTGGAAAACTGACCTTCGATCCGAGGGCCGAAGGAGTGACGTATACCAATCGACTCAGTTCGACGAGATCGGAGCATGCCTGTGTGTGTGTATGTGCGTGTGTGACGAAATTAAGTAATTCAAGTACCTTACATGCTACTTGGTACAGAGGTTGCTGAGAAGCACGACTTACAAAAACTTTGGTTTCCCATAGTTATTTTGACATAAACCGTATGTGCCAAGTCAGTTTCTTACCGAATGAGTCCACATTTGTGGAGGTTAATCAGGGCCCGATTTGAAACCGTTTGTGGATTGTGGAGCGAAAATTTCATATTTTGCATCAGTCTAATAGGTCTGCTTGGTAACTATAGGTTTGTTCCCGTACTTGTATTTTTGCTTTTGCTGTAAGTTGCTGTAAAAAAATAATACAGGAATCCCAGATTTGCGAGGTATATGGGAACAAACCTTATGTCTCAATGATTATCACCATTATAAAGCATTAGGTACAATGGGGTAGCCAGGTTTCATAATAAGGGGGTGGGGAAAAACATTTATTGCACATGGAGAAAGTAGTCACTAAGTTAAATGAGTAATTTAACCGCATTTGAAATTTTTGTCAAACTGCATAAGTATTTTTCAAAATTGGTGACCAGCATGTTACGATGTGCTATTTTCCGCTTTTTCCAATTTTTTCTCAGAATTCTGTTAATTTTCTCGGTTGGGCGATATCGAACTGACCGGATCAATAAGTAAAATGAGTAATTACAGAAACAGCAACATTTTTCTTTATTTTAACTACCATGAAAGTTCACATAGAAATCTTTATAGATTTTTTGGGAATGATCTTTTAGGAATCTCTTCGGGATTACCTAAATACTTTCTCAGTCCAGAGCAGCCGAGAGCAATCTTAACAATAACCATGTACTCTAACCTGAGATTTACCATCAATTTTAAATTGCTCTTCCAAGAATTCACTA